CCTAATGTAGTGCCCTAAATAGTAGGATCCTTATTATAAGGACCCCAAAATAAGGTACCCCTAATTTTTGGAAACTCCCATGCTAATAACCCTAAACCCTAAACCCTAAACCCTAAACCCCAAACCCTAAACCCTAAACCTTATTTTCGGAAACTGCCATGTACACCCCCGACCTGTCGAGCCAGGTCACAGCCCGTCTGCCCCTGGAGGGCCGTAGAGCTCGGGATCCAAGTCCTGATCTTCTTTTCGTTTAGGGTTTAGGGTTTAGGGTTTAGGGTTTTTGGGAGGTTTTGGGCTTTGGGGAAAGGAGCCGGCTTTTTTTGGCTTTTCGAAGTTTTTTTTTTTTATGAGGCCTTTTTGATATTTTGATGCTTCCAAGCCATGCCGGATCATACATCCGGTGCCAGAGCCCGAGGCCAATCGAAGCAAGGTTGTTGTTCACGAACTTAGATTAAATTACCATTAAAATTAAAGTACCTTAGATTAAATTGCCATTAAAATCAAAATACCTTAGAATAAATTACCATTAAAATCAAAATACCATGCAAAAGATCAGCTCCTACCTGCTACATCCCTTTAGTGGCATCGTCCTGAAACGTTGACTCGAAGTCCAAGAACTCCATTGAAACCATAAAGGATCGTAGGTAGCGCCGTATATGACCCGTGCACCAAGTCGACACTGCCCTCGCAGCCCTGCCTCATCACTGCTGTCATCGAGCTCATCGGAGGAGCCTGTTTGCGTAAGGACAGGATTTTTCCACCAACCCACCGCCCGAGAAGAACCACCTGCTCAAGAGTCCGACCAGTGCCCCGAATGACGCCGACGACCCCAAAGAACGTCGCTTGTGCTGCTTGAAAGGAAATGAGACTCTCAATGGATCCCAGGCTGCTGCTGAAAGGAGGCGGCCAAGGGCTTCTAATCCAACAACCCAGCCCTCGAAAAATCCTGCGTGTTCTTAGACGATAACAAGTCATCCCGGCGCGATGACATAAGCACGAAGACCCTCACAAGTGCTACCAATACTTGTCAAGTGTTGCCAGTTCTTGCGGTTATTGAGAATTGTAGTGTCACTTCGGCCCGATGTCTTTACCCTTTCCTTATTATCGTTCTTGTGTGCAGCTGGTGGCATCCGAGAGCATCAGTTGCAAAAATCAGAAGACCCTGATTTCTAAATGCACCGAGCCCTGTCATCCCGGAGCAATCATAAGAGGAAGCCAGACACTGTGCTGGTCAGCAGCGCCGAAAGCACGGTGCCCGCACTTCAGAATCTGCACTGTTCGCGGAAGCCCTTGCTTGAAAAAACAGCGGTCTTGTAGGCTGCAAAACTACTAAGTCAAACATCGAGCTGTTCATCATACTAAGCCATTAAGCCACTAAGCAGTACGGATTATCTTCGAGATCGGCCCAGGGAACCCGAAACGGTCTGTTGTCAGAGCTTGGGATTTGGGCTTTCTTGTGGGTTCGGGGTTTGTCTTGCTCCCACAGTCCCAGCATTCTGAGCCGAACCCCAAAGTTGCAAACCCCGAGCCGCTCCAGAACACCGCCCAGCCCTCAACCCTAAAATCTGCAACATAAACCCTGGAACTCCAAAACGTACAACCCAAAACGGCGACTGTGTGAATCCTCCGCCGTCAGTCTGCGGAAGAAGGCAGGCAGGCAGCGCAGCAACGAGATAAACTTCGCGTCGTTGTGCACGAGCTCCGTGCTGTGGGGGGGAGAGGGTCGACGCCGTCAGTGAACCGGGCCACAAACTTCCTTATTATAGTGTATAATATACGCTCAAACCCCATTCTAATTATTACGGCCCTTATTATAGTGTATAATATACCCTAAAACCCTATTCTAATTATTACGGCCCCTACATGATGGGAGCTTACAGGGTCCGGCGGTGGACGAGGCGATCCTCACCAGCCGCCGGTCAGAACCGCCCACAGCGTGGTGCCAAAGCCGAACACATCAGCCGAGGCCGTGAGGGGGGGAGTGTTCTGGGTTTAGGGTTTAGGGTTTAGGGTTCCAGGGTTTAGGGTTTAGGGTTTTAGGGTTTAGGGTTTAGGGTTAACGGTTAAGGGCTAAGGGTTTAGGGTTTAGGGTTAACGGTTAAGGGTTTAGGGTTCTGAGCACTTGGGGTGCCGTCTGAGCATCATTGTCAGCCCGGTCTTGGGTACGGTCTCACGGCCAGCTATGGGGAAACTTGGCAGGAACCCAAACAATCGATAAAACCAGATGAACACCCAACAGACCACACAAAAGCCTAGACCCTTTACGAACACCCCGATTCAATGAGGGGGCATCCGCCTGAAACCACCAAGAAAGATAGGAAGCTTCTGGAACCTTCACAGTATTCCTAAACATCCTGGGCCTAAAACCAGCCTATGCAACCCTACTAGAACCCTCCTGCCCTTACTAAGCCCCTAAAGCCAGAAACAGCTCGGCGCCGAGCTCTTTTGCCACGAGACTCTCCAGGGGGTCGAGCGGATGTTCAGGACCACCTGGCGCTTGCCCGGTGCTCGACAAGGGAGTCCATGAGGCTTTAGGGGAGTTCTCTATGGTTTCGAAACTCAAAAAATACGAGATAGACATCTGGAATGTCATGGGGGGAACTCAAAAAAGTAAGAGATAGACATCCGGAACGTCATGGGGGGTGAAGACTGGTGCAGCTATGGTTTCTTAGGGGGAGTCCTGGGGAGCTTCAAGGGCCTCGGAATTCCCTCCGTGCAAGTCCGGGAGCTTTGAGTCAGCAGAAGGCGATATGGGAGCTTGCGAAAATAAGGGGTACCTTGTTTGGGGGTCCTCATAATAAGGATCCTACTGTCTAGGGTACTATATTAGGGCCCTCTATTTTCTGAAAGCCCCATATGTCCCTGAAGCTTCGGTCGTGCACCGCAGCTGAAGCATCAGTAGGCCTAGCCTGCAAATCGGCCGAGTATTCTGAGAAGAGCAACGTCTCCAAACCCTGCAATGAAAGCTTAAAGCCTCCGAAACACAGAAAGCCCGAACTCTTGAACCCACAAATCCCGAAAGCCCCCAACATAACCCGGTTAAAAACCCTAAACCCCTAACCCTAAAACCCCTCCTCTTAAGCCCCAAAAAGCCCCGAGCTTCGTGTCGCCTCAAAGCGATCGGAGGCTCTGCGGCGCGCCGAGGTCTCCTCCTCGATGACCTCGTCCTCAGACGTTAATTAGGGTTTAGGGCTTAGGGTTTAAAGGAATTTTGATGTAAGATTTTTTTTATACAGATGTCCTCAGACGTTAAGGGCGGGGGAGCTGAGAGCTGGAGAAGGTTCGGCATGTTTGTAAAGAGGGAGGTTTGGGATTTTAGGGATGTTACCCTAAACCCTAAACCCTAAACCTTTGCATGGGGGTTTAGTAGGGACTTTGGGGCCTTTGGGGCTAAATTGGGCTTTCGGACGTCGTGACTTGGAATCTTGCGGTGTAAGTTTCACCTTCCTCCGGCTCCGGGACTGAGGATGTAGGGTTTTTGGGGCTTTGGGGGTTTGGGGGTTTAGGGGCTTAGGGGTTTTGGGGTTTTTGGGTTTTTGGGGGTTTAGGGTTTAGGGGTTTAGGGGTTTAGGGTTTTTGGGGTTTTGGGGGTTTAGGGGTCCTTTGGTGCAGGGTTTAAGGACTTAGGGATTGAGGGACACCCTGCATCTTCAGAGCATTTCGGGCCCCTGCACATGTGAGTTTCAACTGCGGGGACTTTCATATGGGGGTTTCCGAAAATAGGGGACCCTAATATAGTACCCTAAATAATAGGATCCTTATTATAAGGACCCCTAAATAAGGTACCCTAATTTTCGGAAACTCCCATTTATAACAAAGACGAATAGGATACCCATTACCCAGACCCGTGTGGAAGGTGCCCCTGATGTAAGAACCCCCCCTGACCTTGTCCATGCGCCATGCCGGGTAGGCCCGCGTGCCGGCACCTGCGCAGACTTTACAGCCAAGCGGGGCTTCTTATACTCTTATGAGTATAAACAAATGAATCAAAAGATAGACAGGTAAATAAGCTGTATGAATGTGTATATATATATATATATCTGGACTATCGGGTTTTGGGGCATCTTCCACACCACTGCTAGTTGGGGTTCTTACAGTTCGAGCAAGCCGCGGATCGAATAATACGACCTTACGAACGAGGATGAATAGGGCTTCGAGTATACTTTTCCATCATAAGTACAAAGTACCACACCCAAACCTTCAACTCAATGACTCTAGATTTGGGGTGTTAGCATGAGGGTAGTTCTCTAAAGTAGGGTCCCTTTTTAGGTCCCCACTGTAGTACGGCACCCTTATAAAAAGGACCCCAAAAGGGACCCTCATTTAGAAACACCACCCATGATGCTGCAATGAACTCTACAGGCTATTCCACCGTGAAATCCTGTCGTCTCTCCTGGCGCTTCTCAACTTGGTAGTAGTATCCCTTCATAGTCCCCATATGGGTAGTTTTCTAAATTAGGGTCCCTTTTGGGTCCTTTTTATAAGGGTGCCGTACTCTATTGGGGACCCAAAAGGGGACCCTAATTTGGAGAACTACCTATATAACGATACGATACTATCTCCCTCAAAGCCGTATTCTTATGAAGGCCACCCTGTAGCCTGAGAGATGATGGCGATAGAGATTTCGACGAAGATGATGCTAATGACGCTGAAGATGTTAGTCTTCAAAACCACAACCGGGATCGTGGTTTGTTCCTGGAGGACCTAAACCCCAAAACCCCTAAACCCTAAACCCCTAAACCCTAAACCCTAAGCCCTAAACCCTAGAATCCAAACCCTGTATCTATATCCTCCACACTTAACCCCGCATCCCTGGGGCAGCCCCAAGTCCAAAACTTTGCCTCTACTGGCGGCGGTGTTCTCCAGGCCCGCCTTGCTTCGGCGACTTCGAGTGCTTCGTTTAGGTAGTATTATTACCCAGACCCCCAAAAGGATCTAAAAAATAGATCCCCTAATTAGGGACCCTAACTACTAAAGGGTACTTTGTAGGAACCCCCTTAGGGGA